TGTCTTGCATATGTACAGTTTCCTAATAATGCAATTAACATGAATTATACTAACATTAACATCTGCTTACTGCTTTGCAACAAAACAACACAAAACACTTAATAATAGCAATCGGCAATATTAGCAGTACTTACTTGTTTTATTTGTCAATAATAGGAACTGAGACATGAGAGATCACATTAAAATAACCCATCATGCATTAGAACTCTTCTTTTGGCATAGTCGATTCACTTTATTTTTTATTCATAACAAAACCAAGCTATTTGAAGATATAGTGTACTTTCATTTAAGTTAATAATGCATGTGTATCCAAGTCACCTATGAATATTTTTAGTTTCAGTCTTTGAATAGATTGTTTTGTGTTTATTACTTTTAGTAATACACTTGCCCCATTAGCCTCCTGCAAAACACTAGAAGATGTGTAACTCCTGTGTCCCTTTTTTATAGAAATCCTAACAAGAGGTTGCAGATACTTTGCATAGAGTCCTTACATATTGATAATCAATTTAGTAGTTAATTAGTAATTAGCAACATGATTCTGTTCTCGATTACGAGCCACACATGCTTCAAGAAACACACTTGTGGTAGTGTGATCAGTAGTAGCAAAGCAAAGACACTCCAATATATGAGACTTTTGGCAGCTTCTAGTTTCATTGTCCTACGAAGACAATGAACTGATAGTCTTCATGTTCATTTCAACACCTTATCTTAGCGTTATGTTATTTTTTGAATGCAAGGTATCTTTTTTTTGTGTATATGTGTTTGTGTGTGGGCGTGGGAGTGTGTGCGTGTGCATGTATGTGTGTGTGTGATCGTGTGTGCTCATGCGTTTATATGCCTGTTTGTGTGTCTGATTGTCTATATCCCTAATTTTCACCTGCTGTCAGCCTGTGTCTTTTCATCTATTTTTTGTATGTTGCTCTGTCTATATGTTTCCTCATATATATATATATATATATATATATATATATATATATATATATATATATATATATATATATATATATACATACATATGTATGTATATATATATACATATGTATGTATATATATATACATATGTATGTATATATATATACATATGTATGTATATATATATACATATGTATGTATATATATATACATATGTATGTATATATATATATATATATATATATATATGTATATATATATATAAATATATATATATATATATATATATATATATATATAGATAGATAGATAGATAGATAGATAGATAGATAGATAGATATATGTATATATAGATATATGTATATATAGATATATGTATATATAGATATATGTATATATAGATATAATATATGATATAGATATGTATATATATATATATATATATATATATATATATATATATATATATATAT